TGTTGGGAAAATTGGACAGCCACATGCTTAAGAATGAAACTGGACCATTTCCTTACACCACACACAAAATAGACTCAAAATAGATGAAAGACCTCAATGTGAGACAGGAATCCATCAAAATCCCTGAGGAGAACACAGGCAACAACCTCTACAACCTCAGGCGCAGCAACGTCTTCCTAGAAACACTGCCAAAGGCAAGGGAAGCAAGGGCCAAAATGAACTATTGGGACTTCATCAAGATCCACTGGGAGACAGCTGCCAGGTAAGGCTGGTACAGAGGGTTCCCAGCCCACTGCTCAGAGATGACTGACCAGAGGGCTCCCTGCCAATGCCCCACGGGTGACTTCTGTTTCTAGAATTACAAATATATCTGGAAAACAAAACACCTAGCATCAGGCCTATCTTTTGCAAAATGGGGCTCAACGTTCAAGCTTCTGGTATTACATCCATTTGCCATTCCACCTGTGTGTTTGCTTAAAGGGTTAGCATGTGGTACATGTCGGCATTAAAACTATACCACACTGACATTTTTATGACCTTGTGTTGGCATAGCTGCATTTTTTTAGTTCCTTGGGGGCCTTCTAATTTGGAAATAGCCAGGTCTCTCTTAATTTCAAAGAGACTGTGTCTAATGCCCACCTGTGGTGGGGTTTATCAGCTGTATTTCTTCCCTCTCTAGAAGACACACAGAAGGGTGTCTTCTAGACACCCTAAAGCAGGGTCCCAACCCTGGCTGGGGAGCTTTAAGGACAAAGGCAGTAAGTCATGTCCATATCATGTTCCCCTGGATATGACATAATGGGAAGGGCATGTCACCTCTGTGGTTCGTCCCCAAACCCACAACCCAGGTCTAACCACAAGAAAACATCAGACAAGCCACAATCAAGAGACATTCTATAAACTACCTGACGAGTACTCTTCCAAAGCATCGAGGCCATGATAAACAAGGAAAGTCTGAGGAACTGTCACAGAACACAGTAAGGAGACATGAGAACGAAATGCAATGTGATATCCTAGACTGGATCCAGGAGCACTGAGAGGACATTAGCAGGGAAATGGGTGAAATAGGAAGTTTAGTTAAATGTACTACTCTAATGATATTTCCTTAATATTCACCAAGGTACCATGGTTATGTAAGGTGTCAACATTAAGGAAAGCAAGCTAAAGGGTATGGGGGCACTCTCTGGGTATTATCTTTGCAACTCTACTGTAAATCTAAAGTTATTTCAAAATAGGAAGTTAAAAACGACTAAAAAGTAATTTTAAAATGTCTGGTCCTCCTTCAAACGACTTCAACCAGAATCTCGGGCATTCAAAGCTCTCCTGGTGATTCCCATGTGCAGGTAGGGTTGCGAACTGTAGACTGTGAGCACGGGTGTCAGAACTCCCTGCAGAGCTGATTAACATGGATTGCTGGCCCCACCCCCAGAGTTTCAGCAGAGCTCAAAGACTGGGGTCTGAGAATTTGCATTTCTAACAAGGTCCCAAGTTAGGCTGATGCTGCTGGTCCCGAACCATACCTTTGGAGCCATCTCTCTGGGTCCTTGCCACTCAAGGTGTGGACTGTGGACGAGCAGCAATAGATCCCCTGGGAGCCTGACAGAAATGCAGAGTCTCAGGCCCCACCCAAACCCACTGAATCAGAATCTTGTGTTCTAACAAGAGCCCAGGCTTTTCATTGTTATGTGAAATTTTGATTCAGCCTGTTCTAGAGGGAGAGGATGAGGATGGGAGAGCTGGAGAGGCAGAGGTCAAGGGCTTACTATGTATCCCTTTACTGGCCTTAAGAGCCTGGCCTTCCCTCTCACACATGGGAAAAAGAAAAAAAGTTAGAAATATCAGGGCAACTATGCATCTATTAAGCCAAAAGCAGAGCAGGGCAGAGTGTTTTCTGCCCCTGGTAGTGCCAGACAGCGGCACGCTGACCTGGCTGGGAGGGGAGCAGGCTGATGGCAGGGGCTGAGGCAGCCTCCGGAGAAAGCAGGCCAGGAGGCACTCACCACAGGAAAATGGACAGCAGAGCTAACCAAGAGCTTAATATTTACTCCACTGAGGGCTGACCTCATCCATCCTTTAGAAAAAGAGAGAGTGCCAAGCGAGTCTGGGCAGGTTCATAATAGGCTTTACTTTACAGGAAGGAAGGAGGGAGGGAAGAGAAGAGGTAACAGCAGCCTTTTTGAAGAAACAGCTTTTCCCAAAATGTTTACAGATTTCAGGATTAGGAGACTGGTCCTCCTGCAGCTTCCCACCGGCCAGTCACCTGCCAGAAGCAGCTCCACGGTGCCCTCCCGATCCCTCCCAACCAACACCACCAATCCAAAAGGTCAGGCTGCAAAAAACACGCCACTCCATGTGGCTCTGTTCATCCTGCCTGTTAACATCTTGCCCCATCCCCAATTCCCAACTTTTAAGTCCTAGTCCAATGGTTACGTCTGGAAACCATGTAAACCCCAGGTGCCCCTTACAGGGCTCCAGCTAACTCTTACCACATGGAGGGTAATGCTCAACCTCCCAATGTGTCCTGCCCCGGGGATTTGCTTGGGTGCCTCTAGGAGCCACTCTGGCTTTCTGAGAGGACATTCATGGGCTGCATACATTCTTAGAGGCCTGGGGAGTGGGCTTGGAGTGCTGTCAAAATTAACATGACAATCAGACACAATATTCCTAAGGGAGAAGGAGGGCCATGTGTAGTTTATTTTTCATATACAGATTTCAACAGCCCTGAAGGTAAAGAATTCTGAGATTTTAGATACTGGCATGTTTATTTAGCGGATTCTCAATATCCCATGAACTGAGCATCATACTGGAGAGGCTCTAGAACACATGGCCAGAGAGTTGGCATTTCTCTCTACTCTGCCTGAAAAGAGGAAGGGGAAAAAATATCCACGCTGCCCAAATCAAAGAAGCCCACACCTAAACTGAGTAAGTATTTAAGTGTTAAAAGGAAAAACAGTCTTTAAAATAAGTTGGTGGTAACTTTCCAATGTGACATTGTCACTGCTGGGAGAAAAAAGTCACAGGCTTTCATTGGGAAGCATCCAGTCCAAATCAATTCAAGGCAAGTTCCAGAGGCGAGAGAAGGGATCAGAGCAAGGTCCCACCCAGAAGCTCAGTCATGTTGTCACTGACCCACAGAATAGAGAAAGAGAGACCATATCTGGGCTCCAGATATGGCCCCACCCAGGCCAACCAGAAGGCACAGGCCCGCAGTCAGTCGATACAGACATACCTCAGGCCAAGGGGACAGAACAAGACCCCCGAGTGGTTATTATATAATAAAGAATCTGGTCTGTGTCCGCAGCTCCTGGGAGATAACTGTAACTCCTCAGAATTTCTCAACCATAGGAGTACCTTGTTTTTCCGGGTATACCCCTTGGATCACACCTGAGTTTTAACTAGAGGACCCAGGAAGGGGTCATATCAGCCCACCTTCTCCAAGGAGGGGACAGAAGGGCAGGCTGGAGACTGAGTTCAATCATGTGATCAATGATTCAGTCAATGGTGTCTATGTGAGGAAATCCCGATAAAGAGCCTTAACACTGAGGCTCAGTGAACACACCGATAGGCTGAGAGGGTGACGTGTCCTGATGCCATGGGAGAGGACGTGGAAGTTTTGCGTTCAGAATCCTCCTAGACCTTGCCTTACGTGTCTCTCCATTTGGCTGGTCCTGATCAAACTGTAATCCCAAGTACATTACTTTCCTGAGTTCTCAGTCCATTCTAGCAAATCCCTGAGTCTGGGGGTATGTGGGAATGCCCACATTTGAAGCCAGTTGGTCAGAAGTTCACATGGCCTGGCAAACCCCCCACACCTACAGCTTGTGTCTGAAGTGAGGACCGTCTTCCAGGAACTATGCCTGAAGCCTGTGGGCTCGGCACTGACTCCGGAAGGCCAGGGTCAGAACCACATGCAGGCCACAGTGGGCCAGCTCCTGCCCTGGGCCGCACTGATACGCTGGACTCCCCCCTACCTCCACAGAAAACCCAATCCCTCCTGAAATTGGGGTTTTTGAGACTTGATTCAGGAACATTTGACAGGCCAAAGAGCGAGTGTGATCTAGATCTACAGCACTGGGGAATAAAAACCAAAGCGTGGAGCCCTACTTAGCGGCTGTGTGACTTTAGGGAAATTACTAATCCTCTCTGAGCCTTGATTCCCATTTCTATAGGATGAGATTCATGACCCTTTCCCCTCACAGAGCTGGTGGGACAATTCAATGATGTAACTTATTTACAAAGAGCCCAGCACGGTCTCTCCCGGAGGAAGACACTCAAAAATCATCTACTAACTTCCCTCCTACTTTCAAATTGCCCTATACCCCAAACTCTCTCAGGTTCTCTGTCCTGGGTGGGTTCCCTGGTTGTTAACTGTCCTGGGTGCTGGGCTCACTGGCAACATGCTGGTGTTTTAGAACCCAGGGCAGCAGGAAGCCAACCATTACACTGAAAGTGAAAAGCAAGTAACCATTACCTTGAACAAAAAGGACATTTATATTTACTTCAGTGGCTATAAAAGACACCATAAAATATAATATGCAGCATGTATCCTCATGATTAATAACAGATCTTGCAAATTATTCTCTCAGGTCTCTGGGTGCATCCAACTGGTCACCAAGAACAATTAATTCTTTTAGGAAATAAAGGGATTGCAAATCATCTCTGGTCAGTGGAAAATCTGCTTGTTGTATTGGGAATAAAGAGAAGAGGAGGCTCCAATTTGGCAGTTTCCTGTCCCTGTGAATGAGGTGAAGTAAGATCAGAGAGACTCAAATACAATGACTGTCTGTGAGCTCAGTGATAGGAGGACCTGCCGAATATGGGGTCTCTTGGGCACCTGGAGTGACAGCAGGAATTCGGGGAAGTCCCAGGAACAGGAGCGGATGAGTGAGTGGGGGCGGGGCAGCTCTGGCAGGTGCAAGGGGTGGAAACATGGAGCCCAGACAGGCGACAAGGAAATTTCAGAGTGGAAGCCAACCCACAGTGGTTGAGACTTACACTACAGTCTCCAGGACGGTGGCGTCAAATGATGAACCCAAAGCAGGAAGCGAGGAGTAGAACAAAGCCAGCTCACAGCGAATGTGGTGAGAACCCAGGGAAACCCAAGTCCGAGGTTTCAGCAGAGCCTCTGAGTTGCTGGCCCTGAACTGAGTCGGGCTTCTTAACTTCTCCAAAGTCTCAGAGTCTTAGAAAGGAAGAAACACCTACAAGGGGCAGGAAGTGATCACACAGGGAAAGGCTGGAAGGATGACAGGGGCCAGGTGCCAAGTAGAACACAGTGGCCCACAGCATCCAGGCCCACTCTTACCTAACAGCCAATGTGGATTCACTCCCCATCTAGAATAAAAATCCCAGCAACAAAGCCCTTCTCTGTAATCCTGAAGGGATTTTTATTGAAACACAGTACATAAAACATCTGAGTGGTCACCATAATAGCAGTGAACTCATGCCTCAGATGCCAAGCCACCTTGCTCAGGTATGACACCTCTGGGAGCGACAGGGCAAGGAGAGGGAATCCATTCCGAGCAAGCTCAGAAACTCTACTCTCTTTCAACAAAATCAAACCTCCCATCAGTTAAATATAGAAATTCATGTAGGAAGTCAGTGGGATTCATGGTCCATCCTGAAAGGAGGAATGGTTACCGGAAGTAAGGGGACATCCAGCCCAATGGCGCCCACCAGGAGTGGGAAACACTGTGTATGCCATCTCCCTGGATAAGGAGAGAAACTTCTTGCATAGGACAGCTTGTGTAGCCTATGAGACAAGGGTCACAGTTGAGGAGAGGGATTCTGAGGGTGGAGTATAATGGTGCCACAGACAATGACTGTGGGGCTCCAGGCTACCATGTGACAGACACAGGGCACCTAGGTGGAGACATGACAGAAGAGTGAAGAGTGAAAATTCCACTTGCCCGCCACAGAGTCACCCTGGAAAGGGAAAGGGGGACAGCAGATCCGCTCAGTATGAAGTGGGCAACAGCCGGCAGAGTAGGGCCAAGACCCAGCTGGCCAACCTCAATCCCTTCACACGCAGAATGAGTTCATGAAGGTCAATCTGCCATAAGTTGAAGGCTTCTCTGAAAGAGATCTGTGTCCTTCTGAAGAGTGAGCGGCTGTTCTTCTTCTTGTGCCTGTAGGAGGGACAAGAAGGAAGGAGAGAACAAGAGATAAATGAGGAAGAAGCACTCATTACCACTTAGAACAATGGAAGATCATGGCTTAGCCTACTCACCAGACCCCCGCCCTAGTGGGTGACTCCTGGTTAAGTGATCCTAGCACTGCCCACCCAGCCACCAGAGGAACTCAACTACTCCATAGGAGCTTTCCAGATAAGTGGAATGAACAAAAGCAGCTGTTTCACAGGGCATCAAAGACCTAGAGGACCCATTGGGTAGAACATTCCAATGTTTCCCTTTTTCTGTATGTTTAGTAAATATATGCCAATCCTGAACCTCCCAAACCCAAATATGAAAGCTTTCCCAAACTTTCTGAGGCTAAAGCACCTGGAAACTAGGTCAGGTGGTCCTGAGAGGCTAAGCCCAGTATGGAGTCAGCCCACAGCTCAATTCCTTCTGCACTAACAAAAGGACGGGATGGAAATTGGTGTTTATGTTAATGACCCATTTAAGACCTCATTTCCAGAACCCTCAAAGGAAGAATAAATCATGTTCAGCCCTTTTGTGCAGTCTATTTTGCTATAATCTAACTCAATATTTGATCATGGGTGCAGGAGATATGTGGCCAACGCTCCCTTCACCAGACACTTTGCCAGAACGAAACACTCCCTGCACAGGATGGATAGCATCTGACCCCAGTCTCGGGCTCCCCTCTCAGATGAGAAAATTCAGCCAGGGCATGGCCCTTCCCATGTATCTGCACACTCAGGAAAAAGGGCCTAGAACCCTCACTTCTCCAGCATTATCTCCCTGAGGAAGCACCCTCCTTCCCTCACCAACACTCTAAAGGTCCCGAGATATCTAAAAAGGTCTGAGATCCCCCGTGAGCCTGCTGGCAACACTCCCGAGTCGCGGCCACACCTGCGAGGAAAGAACATTGGCCTTGCAGCTTAGTCAATGCTGGGGAGAAAGGTCCTGGGACCAGTTAGAGATGGGATGAACATCAGGATTCCCAGTCCAGTGGACACTTGGGTGGGACCGAGACTCTCAGAAAATGTTTCAAAATTTACTGAGGATAAGAATCGCCTGGAAAGCTGAACTAGGAGGGTGATGTCCCAGAACCCACCAATCTGACAAAGTTACAGGTAGCTCTCTGGACCACTCAAACACACGGCCCAGAACCAGGGACTTTGCTGGAGTCATTTCCCGTCCTAAACTCTTCCTCCAGAGGGAGCTGGCAACTGGGGACCTCAGGCAGGGCCCTAGGGACTGGTGGGAGAAAGTGGAGGTAACCGGGACTGCCCCCCCCAACTAGTGGGGCAGGCAAGGAGAGCTGGGAGGGGAAGGGAGGCTGGAGCCCGCACTCACGCGGCCAACGCCCTGATGCAGCAGCGTGCCATGTTCAGGAAGGAGCTGGCGCTGGCCCGGGTGCCCAGGGCGGCCTCGATGCCGAGGAGCAGGTCGTTGGTCTTGAAGAGGAGCAGCATCTGGCGGGGCACGTGGTTGAGGAGCTGGCTGATCTGGGGGAGGTAGTTGGCCGCGTTGTTGCGGATCTCCGCATCCTGAAGCAGCAACAGAGAGACAGACGTGGAGAGTTGGAGTGGACAGTGGGGCCCAGGGCGGTAGGTGTCAGGGCAGCCTGGGGCGAAGAGGCCACAAGGACCCTCCAGGAGGTAGCTCCCAGCACAGCTGCCTCAGCACCGCCAGGAACCTCCCCCGGGGGGAGCTCAGCACAAGGGGCTCTGCAGTCCAACAGACGTGGAGGAGACACCTTACCCCAGCTTCTGAGCAAGCCCTAGACACAGGACAAGAACACGTCAGCAAGGCCCCTTGCCGTCCCCAGCCCCCCGCGGTCACCAGCACCCTTGCTCCAGGTCCACAAGCCTGTACGGACTGGGGCAGGAAGTCAGCTTCCTCCCCAACCCCTTGCTGAGGCTGGACTTAGCCAGTCTTTCAGCCCAGGGCTCACCTGTGTTACTCTCCAAGGCCTCTTCCACTTGCCACCAATTTCAGGCCGGGCTTAGAAGGAGCCCCGGGAGCTGGTATCTGCTGAATCATGTCCCCCATCCCTTCAGCCAAGCCCAGGCTGGTGGAGTTCACAGACCTGAGCTCCTGACCCCAACCCAGCTCCATACCCTGCCTGACTCTGCACCCCACCAGACCTTCCCAAAGCCCCTGCTGCCCACACAGCCACTGCCCATCACTGTCTCTATGCTGGAGCCCATCTCAGCTGGCCCAGGGCTGTAGGTCCCAAGACCCAAAGAGCAGGAGCCAGGGCTAGCCCTTACCCCCACCTTTGTGTCTGAGCATGAGGTCTGGCCTCCCACCCTTCCCTGTCCCTGAACTCTGCAAGACTCTGGGCAAATAACGGCCCCCAGACAGAGCCCTGAGCACGACAGTACACCTCTGACCTCTTTTCTGTCCCCAGAGAAAATGCTTGCGGGAATTAATTCATTTGAACCTTACGACAACCCTATCAGGCAAGTGTATCACCCCCATTTGAGAGGAGGAAACTGAGGCACTGAGAAGTTAGACAACCTACCAATGGGCCACAGCTACTAAGTGGTGAATCGGGATTTGAACTCCTGCAGTCTGGCTCCCAAGCCCACGCCCTCACCACCAGGCTCTACTGCCTCTCACCTCACAGTGCAACTGTGACCCTGGGTAAGTCCTTTCACCTCTTCTAACCCGATGTCCTCATCCAAACACTGGAAATGCTCAGACCCTCTGTGCCCACCTCCCAGCAGGACCAAGAGGATCAGCAGAGATAAGGAATGGGGAGATGCTTGGTGCTAATCGAAGTCACAAGAGGGGCCCAGCAGTGCTGCCAGAGGTTTCCCCACGTGGCCGCCTTCTGTAACACAAGCAGGACTCTCAGCCCTTTCCAGAACACATGTGTGCTGCTGATAACTGAGTTGCTGTGAAACTCGAAATGTCCCTCAGGCAGGAGCTATCAGATTGGAGCATCTGAACACGAAGCCAGACGCTGAGGCTGCTGTCTCCCCGCCGCCTTCCACCACAGCTGTGGGTCAGCCTGCCTGAGGGTTACGGCCAGATCAAGGCTTTGCTCACCACAGGGACGCCTTCCGCAAAGTTGGGACTGGCCTGGAGACAGTCCCTCTCAGCAACTCTCAGAGCAAAGGCAGGCACCTGTACCCAGCCAGACTCCCTCTAGGGGGCATCTCCTCGAGCTCGGACTACCCCGATGGTGGCTGCCTGAAGTAGACCCCATTGGGTGCCTACTCAACAGTCATTCCCCATTCTCCTCTGACAAATGAACCCCATTTTTGTTCACTTGACCCCTTGGGGCTGTGCTCTTCAGGGAGGCAAAGCCTCTCCGTAGCCCCAGGGGGGGATCTTGATTGATCTCGGCCATTGTCAGCTCTGAGCACAAGGCCTCTGCCAAGTGATTGGCTCAGGCATGGACATGAGACACAATTCTGGCCAATGAGACCAAGGTGGAGTCTGTCGGGGGACTTTTGGGAAAGGTTTTCCTGTTTTTAAGAAACAATATATGAGAAGAAATGGCCCCTAATTCCCACCCCTGGACATCAGGGAATAAAAGTATAAAGCTTGGAACTCTCCCAGAAGAACCCTAAGAGTCAGCCCAAAGCCCAGAGCTTCTGATCAGCTCAATTAACCAGGCTGGACCCACTCACCTCCAGGCATCTTGCTATGGACAGAACAGATGCCTAAATGTTTATGCCATTTGTAGCTGGGAAACATCTTCCCTGACACAATGCTGAGGGGTCCCCGCATTCTCAATGAGACTAAGACTCAGAAAAACCGAGCCCTTACATCTCAGAGACTGAACTGGGGCTGGCCTGCAGTGGCCAAGTTTATTCTCTCACTGGCTTTTTGTCCAAAGTGAGCAACTAGAGTCCATGTCTGCAGAACCTACTTGAACACCCCTCTGTTAGAGATGGTCCCAGGACTGCAGGGACCTTATAGAAAGACATTCAAGACAGGATCCTTGCCTCCCAAGTACTCACCAACTAGCTGGAGAAGTCACACAAGGACACAAACAGCTCCTCCTCGAGAGAGTCTACAGTGCACGCCCATGAGTGATACAAGAATTAAGGGGCCACTTTTGGCAAAGATGAAGAGGAGAGACTTCCTGGCTGGCGCTACGGACTGCACTGTGTCTCTCCCAGACCACGATGTTCAAGTCCTAATCCCAGTGTGACTGTATTTGGAGACAAGGCCTTTAAAGGGGTAATCAAAGTGAAGGGACTTCATAAAGGTGGGGTCCTAACCCAACAGGACTGATGTCCTTAGGAAGAGAGAAAGAGACCAGGAGTGTGTCCACAAAGTAGAAAGGCCATAAGAGAACATAGCAAGAAGGCAGCCATCTGCAGGTCAGGAAGAGAGGCTGCACCAGAAATCAACCCACCAATGACTTGGTCTTGGACTTCCAGCCTCCAGAACTGTGAGAAAATAGATTTCTGTTGTACAAACCCACCTAGCTAGCGGTGTTCTACCAGCAACCCAGGAAGACTAACATGGTAGCATTTCTGCTGGGTCTTTATAAATGAGCGAAAATGCAAAATAAGATCCTAACTTGGTTAATGAAAACACGTACCGTACACTAAATACCTTCTGTGCGCCGTGCGATTGTGTCCATCCCTGAGGCTTTACATACCACGTACATGCTGAGGACTCCCAAGTTTATGTCCTTGAGCTCCAAGCTTTTCTGCCCACGATGCCCCCATGTGAATGTTCTAACTCCTGCCTCCCACCCCCCAACTATGTCATTCCCAAAGTCTTCCCTGTGCCAGGAAGTAGCTCCCCTACCCTATAACTCACCTCAAAAAGGTGTGATGCAACTCTGACCCCTCCCTCTGCCTCCTCTCTACACCCAAGTTGACAGAAGAGCCTCTCAGTCTTGCATCCAAAGCAGTAAGGCTCATCCGCTTCCCTCCACCTCCTCTGCCTTTAGCATGGTCTGCGCCCCCATCACCTCCCAGCCTACCCACCAACTGCCCCGCTGCTCATCTTGTACCCTCCAGATACTTAAAATAACAACTCTGAGCACACTCTTCTCCTGCTTGAAACCTGTCAAAGGCTTTGCTTTGTACTGAGAACTATTCCAAACTTCTTCCCATGGCTTGGGAGGCCCCATGCGAAGGCCCCTCTGCTCAGTACCCCAAATTCTTCTCGTTCCAGCACCTACCTCTCCACACTCCAGATGGTGCCAACACTTTCTCTCCCTGTCCTGGCATATCTTGTGCCCTCTGCCTGGAATGCTTTCTCCAAGCTCTGCCTGAGGCTGCTGCCTTCCTTGTCCTCCAGAATCCTCAGCAAGTTCTCTGAGCACCCAATCTACAGCCCTCCCCCCATTACTCACCCTGCCTGTTGCCTCCAGTGTCTGCAACCTGCAATTATTCCATTTACCTGTTTCTTCGCTTGTTTACTGTCTGTCTCCCTCAAGCACAGTGTACATCATGGAAGGCCTGTCTGTCTGTTCATCATTGGATCCCCACCACTGGGTCTCGGTTCCAGCAAAAACAAATGTTTGTTCGATGAACAAATTTCAGGAACCATAGGGAGGCACTTTACATACATTATCAATAAAACAGAAACTATCATCCCTATTTAACAAAGGAGGGAGATGGTCTCTCTTCTGAGATATCAAGCTTTAAAGCTTGGGGCTGCTGGCAGTAATCATGGCCACCAAGCTTGCTAGGGAATGATGTACGTTTGCAGGAAAGCAGAGCCAAGAGATGGTGAGAGGTGGTCTCTTTGTGACATTGTTTAAGACTCTATCCAACCATTCCTTAAGGCCCTCATCACAAAGCAGCTTACAGGGGAGGACTACAAGGCTCAGAGATGTGATGAGAACCATCTAAGGTCATGCCAGCAGGAAAAGCAGGAGCTGGAACTAGAACCCAGTTCTATCTGACTGCACAAGTGGGACCTGTCCCTTGCGGTGAGCCCGGGCCCGGGCCTCGGCAGAGTCTAAGTGGTCCCCACGTGGCTATGGGCAAGTCTGCACGGGTCTGGCACAGGGTAGGACTGGGAAGATAAGCCAATTCCAAGACAGAATGAAGAGTCTGGGAAGGAGGTGGCTGGGAGTACAGAGAGGAGGGGCTCCTGGACCAGTCTCAGCCCAGGCTCCATGGGATTCTTGTCTAGATCCAATGGAGAATGAGCTACAGAGAGAGACTGAAAAAGCTATTTGCCACACACTCAGGGAGGACAATGAGGCAAGTGGCTCAGTGCCGTATGAGGAACTGAGGTGCCCCCCGCAAGTAGGGAGGCATACAGGAAGTTTGCAAGGGGCACAGAGGAGCCCGACTTACTGATGAGACAGTCCCTGGGGATTCCCGAAAGTCCTAGAGGAGAACTTAGTGGAAGCCTGAAATCTTGGGTTAGAGCAAAAGCCACAGCAGTGTGGATTACATGGTTACCATGAGTGGGTTGCTGAGGCCAGGGAGGACACAGTGAGACACTGTTCCCTCTCCCTCCTTGCATCCAGGAATGCTTCTCCTCCAGGAGATCTCCACTGTTGCCCACTGCCCCACGGCCACAGCCCACCAGCCCAGAACCCCAGACCCTGGACTGGACAGGGTCCAAAGGCCACCCCTGGCCCTACCCCTCGCATTCAAGAGAAGGCAAGGCCAGGACGGGACCGCCACCTACCTCTGTGGCAGTGACCGGGGCTTGGCCAATGCCCCTGTTGACGGAGTCCCAAGACCGGGCAGTCAGCATGCAGGCAAACAAGGGGTAGAGATCCCCGGCCCCCAGGCGCTGGCTGTACTTCTTCACCTTCTCCATGTCAGTCCAGATCAGCGACTGCCAGAGGCGGCAGTAATCCAGGCGGAACTCATCGGTGAGCACCTGTGGTGGGGAGCCGTGTGGCAGGACCTGAGCCTCCTGTCCCCATGGGAGACCTAGCCCCTAGTTGGTGTGACACTGCGAAGGGGGACTGTTGAAGACCAGAGCCCCTCTGCATGATCCGCTTCTCCCCCAAAGGTCAGCCATCCCTGAGGGTCCAAAGTGAAGGCTACTGTTTGGCCAGCCTCGGTCCTGAGTGGTGACGGTCACTAACTGCCCACCAAAGCACACTCCCTGCCTCCCTCCTAGTTAGGTGCAGTGCTCTGCCTGACCTCCAACCAACGCAACGTGGCAGAACCCCATGTTCAGCTCCTGCAAACCTTCCCATGCGTGCTCCTCCAAGCCCTCACCGATGCTGGAGGATGAGGAGACCACACCCAGGGAAGCCCAGCGGCAGAGCCTCAGTCAGCCCCTGCCTGCTGACACCTCCATCTACCCAGGACAGGTCTGTGAACGAGCAATTAGACATCTGTTGTGCCTGGGCGATCACACGTGTGAGGGTTGTGTGACAGCAGCTAGCCTACCTTAAACTCATGTCCCCATTCACTGAGCCTTTCAAAGTGGCCAAGATTTGGGGAGATGAGATCAGGGCTCTGAGGGGAAGAGCAGGAGACCACTGGGAAAACCTCTCCAGGACCATCTGCTGTGGACTCAAAATAGGCCCTGGGTCCAGGCATTGGCATTGAACTTTGCAACTTCCAGGCAGGAGCTCATGGCTCATGCGGACCAGATGAGTTCCAAGTTCCAGAGGACAGAGGCCAGGCCCATCGAGCCCCTACCAGCTCTGGGCCCCCTTTCCCACTGCACGTTACCTCCTCCCCGGGGCTGAGTGACCCCCTTCCCCTGAAGTCCCAGCTCATCGAAGGGCAGCTTACTTTCCAGCAGGCTGGACCGGGCTTCCCAGGGAAGCACGGTGTTTACAGCTGACAAAGCACCCACACAGCCCCAGGCACCTCCCTGTCTACTTCCACTGCAGGTGGTAAAGGAGGTAACACCAACCTTATTGGACTGGAGACAGCTCGTGGACAGGACTTGCACAAAATGGCAGCCCTAGGGGCAGGGTAGGGTAGGGCCTCTCCATCCACCCTGGCTCTCTGCCTCCTGTGTCTGTGGCCAATCGGGGAACTGAGCAAGCTCCAATCCCAGGCAGGCCCAGAGACCCTGGGGTGGCCAGGTGGGAATGGTGTCTCCTACCTGGTAGAGCCCATGGTCCAGCAGGACTACCTCCGCCTTCCCTGTGCCTGGGCATTTCCGCACCAGCACGTTGCCAGGGTGGGGGTCACAGTGCACGAAGCCATTGACAAAGATCATCTCACTATACATCTTGCCCAGGTGGCGTGAGATCTGAAAGAGGAGGGACATGGGTGGGAGTTAGGCCGCATTAACACCTGTCTTGGAGACTTCGACTTTGGCCCCTGAATCCAGTCACTTTCAAGAGGAAGGCTGGGTGGGCCTGGGCGGTCATGGCAGGAATGATGGCTTGTGATCACACAGTTCTTGAGTTTAAGACAGAAGTTCAGTTCTAACCCCAGTTCTCAACATCAGCTGCATGTAGGGTCACCTAGAACTCAGAAGTGTTGGAGGTCAGCCCCAGGCATCAGCATCCGTTGTCAAGTTCCCGAGGTGATTGTAATACACAAGGTAGAACCACTGCTTCTAGCATTTCTGGAGACTGTAACTCCCACCCCAACCCCCACCCTCTACTCTTTCCAGATCCTTCTCTTTCTTATTCTCTTCCCAATCTCATCATTTTCTCCCCAAAGCTGAGGATGGGCTGGAAAGCTGGGGTGGGAGTGGGGTCATCCCAACTTCCCCTTCTCCGAAGAGCAAGGCTAGGGGGGTGGGCTGTGAGTGAGGGATACAGGCCCCCAGCACTCCCTAGGCCTGTCCCACCAGCTCCAAGGCAGGCCCAGGAGGAACCAGAGTCACAAGCCCTGCTCCCCTCTCCCTCAGGCCCCTTTCCCTTCGCACCTCCCCGTCAGAGCCTAATGCTAATCTGATTTATGAGGTCTGCATAGAAGAAATGACACTGAGAGGCCATTTAAATCATCCTGTCACTGCTGCCCTCCCTGCCGAGGCAGTCTTCTTATCTCTACTCTCTTTTTATTAAAGCTAAAAGCCTCTTCCCAGCTAGGGAACAGCTGCTGAATAGCGCCAGACCTGGGCCCACAGATGGTCTGTCAATGGGTTTCCAGAGGACAAAGAGAAGCTCAACTCACAAAGCTGACACCCCAGGACACATTCTGCCCTTGACACTGCTCTCAGTCCCTGCCGGAACCCATGGTCCCTACTGAACATATCCCAGCCAGAGGAGAGGAGCTGGGGTCCATGGGTGGTGCAGGAACCCTGGAGTAGGGTCTTAAAATGAAGGCTCAGTTCCTTTGCTTGGCCTATAAAGCCCTGCACAATGAGGCCCAGCTTCCCTCCCTGGTCTCATCTCGCACCATCATGATGCTATGGCCACCTCTGCTCTTTTTCTCTTCTCCCATGGCCCTGTGCTTTCCTACCTCAGGGCCTTTGCACATGATCATCCCTCTGCCAAAAGCCTTTCTCCCATCTCCCCTTCACCTAGTTCACTCCTCTCTTCCTTCCCATCCTAGCTCAGCATCACCTCTCTGGAGAAGCCTTCCTTGACCTCCCAGCCTAGATGAGGTTCTCTTGCCACAAACTCTCATAGAACTCCATACTATTCTTTCATGAGGCGAGCACATTATTTGGGTCATTATTTGATTAATGACCACATAGCCCACTATTATAAGCTCCCAAGATGGCAGAGACTGGCTCTATTTTGTTAAACGGCTTTATTGGGGTATAATATACGTACTGTCAACCAGCTCTACGATGCATCCACTTAACCTATAACAGGCCAAACATGTGAATATAGGACTCCACCTTCAATATGAATGAGATCCTTGTGTTTTTTGAGATGCTGTGGTTCCTGTCTTGATGCTTATCCTGACTCCATGAATCTCCTCTGACCCGCAAAATAAATCTTTAAGAATAACCCCACTATAGCAATAGTCGACATCCTTGCATCGGTTTGAAAAGCAGGTACAATTATGATGCCCATTTTGCAGATAAGGAGCTGTGATTCCTCGAGGTTCAACTTACACAGGGCCACTGGGCTATACACAGAGCCAGGATTCGAGCCAGGTGTGACCCCACTGCCTCCCAGCAACCACGCTACTACCTACAGGCTCATGCCAACCTCTGCACTTCTCAAGTGAACCTTGTGACCTTAACAAGTTGCTTCTCTCAGCTTCAGTAAAGAGGTTGTCTGAATCCTGATACCTATCCGATGTTGCAGTAGATGAAATGAATGCCCCATACTCTCCAGGCCCTTGGAGAACTTTGCCCCAGGTCAAGTTCTCAACCTCGGGCTAAGATGTCATCTCCCCCAGGGCCACCATTTTCTGTTTCCTTGGAGAGGGGCCCAGCTAGAGTTGGTCCTGGTTGAGCCAGCAAGGGCCCTTTTGAGAAGCCCTTTTGTTAGGCCCTTTGGAGCTCCATGGAGCCATGCTCTGAAAGGCTGCATTTGCCAAACCAATTGCATTTATTAGGTAATAATTCATTTTTATTTGTCAAGGACGCATATAAGGTCCAAGCAGGGCTCATGATCAGCCCAAGATAAGCAGTACAGCCAGACTGAGCCGACAGAATGCCAGCCAACAGCAGAGAAATGACATTTCATTTAGTCTGGGCAGACCTGTCATGGGGAGATGTATGATCTCCCCTGAGCTTTCTGAAATACTGCTAATCGCTCTGGGCCCCCTATTACCACACTGAAAGATGGCCCCTAGGGGTCTGGGGACTCAGGATGGGGGAGCCCTTGCCCACAAGGAGTGAGCTGCTGCCAAAGGAGGGAGAGGTGCTGCTAACTGTAGCTCATACATACACAAGGAAAGCCGTCAAATGGCCTCCCCATTTCAACACCCCATCCAGCTGCTCCTACTTGGGTGTCTTGCCATTTGGGAGATGTTCCTGATGTTCACTTTAACCAGATTTCACCAACATAGATAGAGACAGCAGGCACAGACAAGAGGGAAAACCAGCTGAGGACGCCAGCTTCACTCTGACGCCATCTTGGTCCTGCCACCTAGGGCATGCCTGAGCTGGGGTCAAGTCACCTTCCTTCTCGGTCTGGGTCTACATTCCCTTGCTGTTAAGGGGGACTAATTCCATCAGCTCCACTTCCTCACAAAGTAACCTTGACATTCAAGGTCAAAACATCTGGGAAAGCACTTTATATACTATATACCATATAGATAGATATAGATATATGTGTATACACACACACACTATAAAGTACTTATATTACTACGTAAGACACACAAATGTGTTTATGTGTAAATGTGTTTATTGGTGGCTTATTATTTAAAACTTGGGGGAGTGGGAAATGTACCCAATATCACTTTCATCAAAGTGTAATTTTCAAAAAGTTAAAAATTTAACTCCTAAAAATATAGAATGAACACATGTCAAAGATTGTTTAATTCACCAATAAAGGAGAAAATAAGAAGGTAGAGCTGGTTCCGAGAATTTTGAAGGACTGCATATTTATGGGAATTTAAACAGGAATAAGAGACTAAGATTCCTGGATTAGATATAAAACTGGTTATTGTCTCACAGAGCAATAAGGAAATCGTAACCTCTGAGGTTATCTTTTCTACTGAGCAGGAATTATTTGCATCTCTACCAGATAAGATCTACAGGTTGACGTATGACTTCAGTCTGAGCCCTTAATTAATTGTCAATAGCAGAGTCAAACAAAAGTACATTCCCCTAGATATTAAAAAGCCCTGGTGGGCTGCCTGAACAATGCCCAAGAACGACTTTGAAAGGATACACTGCACACTCTTGGCCTTAATTCCTAAATTTTGGGTAATTTTTCTTCACATCTGTCAGAGTCCCAGTAAATAGCTTCTTGGAACCAATTTGCCCAGAGGAGGCAGCCAGCACCCTCCTACTCAGAGAGACACAGAGGATCCCAGAAGAAACCCAAGGCGATCACTGGGCGCACAACCCTCTCCCTCACCCCCGTTCCATAATAGTTTAGCTTTGTCTTGTGATTAAGAGCAAACATCTGTAAATTCTGCAATGAACATGGGGATGCAGATATGTCTTCCAGATACCGATTTCATTTCCTTCAGATATATACCCAGCAGGAACTGCAGAATCGTATGGTACTACCGTTTGTTATTTTTGGAGGAATCTCCACACTATTTTCCACAGTGGCTGACCCAGTTTGCCTTCCCACTAGGAAGGCACCAGCATTCTTCCTTCTCCACTTCCTCGCCAACACCTTTCTCTCTTAGCTTCTTGAGGACCATTCTAACAGGTGTGAGCTGATGTCTCCTTGGGGTTTTGATTTGCATCTCCCTGACGATGAGTGAGGTTGAGCACCTTTTCAGGTACCTGCTGGCTCCTTGTACATCTTCTTTGGGAAAATATCTATTCTGTTCCTCTAAAGCTGCCCATTGCCCTGTGACAGTAGCATCTGCATAAAGACAGGGGAATGCCAACGTCTTAGAATGGTATTAGCCAGTACTGGGGGCCAGGCACCATTCTGGGCACTTTCCATGAACTCATAGCCATCTTCTGTAGTAGACAGCTGAAGGAAGAATTAGAAAAAGGGAAAGCAGCTTGGTCACCCAGCCAGCAGTGAGTGAAACCGGGCTCCAAACCCAGGTGGCCCAGGTCCAGTGAACAGGCTGTCCACCACCCACTTTCTCCTGCCTCTCCACATGCACAGAAGCTCCTGCCTGGGGGCAGCGGCTGAAGAAAAACACTCTGAAGGTCCACAGGGCATCCAAGAAGGCATTCCATTTGGAGAAAAGGGTCTCAGAGGGAAATCCAGGACCACTCCTCTAACCAAAAAACTCACTGTTAACTAAAGCTATACTACAGCTCTTTATAGAAAAAAATTCAGTGACAAGTCTTCATGGTTCTGTGTAAAAACAATGTGCCATTCATGTAAGTGACTTCAGTAATTACACAATGCCTTCATTAAAAAAAAAAAAAAAGAGAGAGAAATCTATAAAAAGGTTGAGTAAAGAATTAATTTAGTAAATAATATTTAAATCAAGGAATTATTTTTGGATTTTTCTCAAAACTTGAATTGGCTGGAAGTGCTTTAATTATTCTATAATTGCATAGATTAATTTATTCCCACCCCCAAGGGAAAGTCTATTTATGTTCTTGGGGGTGTCGTGCAAGCAAGGCCAAGATCTCTCAAAGAAATAGGAGGTTGGTTGCAGGATATTAATAATCACATACGTATCCTGATGTTAAGTATAAAGAGGGTCATAATTCAAATTCTCCTCATCCTTCCGTCAGTTTACGGT